GGGGGGGGGGGCAACAAGGGAAGGCCAAGGAAGTCCTGAGTTATTGACTCCCTCTTGACCCAGAAAAGAGGCAGCAATCTGTTATGAACAATAAAACCTAGAGAGGAAAGATAGGGAACTAATGTCCATGGAGAATTAATAAGTGCTGAACACTTTATTCCTAGCAAGTCACTGAGAGGCTGTTTAGTGGAATAAGTACATGAACCTGAGTATTCGAGACCTTGGTTCAGACCCTGTCAATCCTTCAGCTCTGCCTTTGCCAATCTCTGCTTGCCTAACAGAGCAATTAAATTCCTGCTGCTACTGTTCCTATACTCGGATTATAAATCCTTGGATCCCTATTATTCTGACTGTACCAATCTTATGGTAAGATAGGAGGTACATCATTTATTTCTTCAGTGATGCAGTTCCTATACCCCCTCTTCCAAGACATGACTTATGGTTGGAAAAAGAGAAATACCTTTACCTCCAAATTCTGAAATTTTCAGTTCATGACTTCCAAGTCCTAGAGATGTTTTCCCAATTTCTTCTGTTGCATCATTCACTCCTACGTTAATATACAAAAGTGAGTACTGAGCAAAGGCTTGAAACCTCTTAGAAAGCTTTTTCCCATTTCAATCATATCCCTGAAACACAGCAGCACACATACCATGGCCTCACGTGGGAGTCACTAACGGGAGTGTAGTTTCTCTCCTCTTCTCATCACTGTACTTCCTACCATGAAATACTCCAAGAATTAGATGATATGGTCCCTGACACAATCCAGTTGGGGAGACACCACCACCACAAATGACAGAACTTTACACCTATGAAGTTGTAAAACATTGCAGAATTACCAGCAAGTGAAAATGGGAGCCACAGAGATGCAGTGGTCAACATATTCATGAAGAGGTGGAAAAGTGGACTATGAAGGTCTTGGACACTGGGAACTTTCATGACTATTTTCTCAGTGGGTTAATAATGTTTATGGAATAAATAGCAGGACAGGAAGAAAGCAGGAATTAAATATTAAGCAGGGGATCTCACAGCAGAGAGGCAAGAAAGCACAAATCATTTCTTACATGTGGGAAAGGGAAGCAAATATGCCAGATATTCCAGGAATCCAGGCAAATGTGAGGTTATTACTAATGTCTCTGGCAATGAGAGCAAAATGGACTCAAGAGGGTTCTAGTTTTATCTGATACAAAGCAATACATTAATTCCTTTAACCAAAGAATTAAGTTAAAAACAAACTACCCTGACCAGCTTCATCACTCACAACATTGAATCCGCAGGTTTTCTCTAAGCACACTATGCTCCTTCGTGTTTTGAACCCTTTGCACATGCAATTCTTCTGCCACTTGGAAGTCCACACCTGTGTTCAGTCCGGCACAGTCTTCTCTAGGGTCCTGCTCAAACACCACATGTCACAAGGCCTTCCACTACTTTCCAGGCAGAGCTAGTCACTCTGTTCCATGTGCTCTCATTACTTTGTTCATTCCTCTTTTAGGGTACTTAACACGTTTTATTGTGATTTACTTGCTTTTAGGCATCTGAAGTCATTAGCCCAAATGGTTTAGGAGGGTAGATGTCTATATGTTTAATATTTTTCTATGTGTGGCCCTGGCATTCAATACACAAAAGGCATTCAGTTGAATATTTGTTGAATGAGTGAATTGATTGCATGTTTCCTTACAAGCACCTCAACAACAAAATAAATTCAGTAAGCTTTACAGAATTTGTAGAAATTCTCACCACTGGGCCTTTTCTTGTGCTGACCCTTGCTAACACCAAGGGTTTAACAACAAAATGGAAAATATATTTAGGGGGCTTAATTAATGGAACCCAGGTAAACATCTTTTGAGAGATTAGCCTTAATACAGAAAATCTCAAGTACTTGAGAAATGTATGAATAACATGTACTCTTGACTGTTTTTGTCAAATATTTATTAGACTAGTTTCTCACAGCAGCTGGACAATGGTCCATTCAAGGCTGGGGTATCTGCTGCTGAAGAAAAATGCGCATGCTTTGGCTATCAGATGCACAGATGACAAGACTGACATTGTTTTGGAAGTTAAGAAATTGAACATAATTTCTTTTGGGGGGAACAAAAGATTTCTTTTCCTTAGGAACCAACTTTTAGGCTTGTTCAAGACCTTAAATCTCAGCTGACTTTTTTTGTAGAATGTCATTTACAGAAGTTATTTTAGTCTGGGAAAATGTAAACATAGTATGTTACCAGTTTGTACCTTTACCACAGAGAAACCTTAAAATCATTCTTGTGGAATATCTGGCTGTCAGTGGCATTATCACATGATGAGTAGTGAGTCTGAGAGAGAAAGCTGGGGGCAGAATATGGAAGGCTATGAATGCCAACCTAAGGGATTTGAACTCTGTCAGGTATTCAGTGGAAGCCGCTGAAAATATTTCAGTAGAAAAATGAAAGCCAGACCTGGTTCTCATTCTTGTGGCACTGATGTAAGGAATGGCTTAAAGTGAGAAAAGATGAAGAAGGTAACAGCCTTTTATTAGAGTGCTGGCCATCAATATATTTAGAGGTGATATAACCAACATTCAAAGCAGAATTGACAGGACCCAGTGAGAGCCTAGATATAAAGAACGGAGGCATTGAGCTGGTAACCACTAAAATTTACCATCGGGGAATCCCTGGCTAGAATAGAAGGCAGCCACCCCTGAGAAAGCGCTTACTACAGGAGACAAAGCCAAAACTAGAACTCTGACTTCCGGATTCTCCATCCAATTTTCCTTCTGCTACAGCTATTGCCTGATTTGAAACGTTAAAACTGGTTTGAAAGACCACAAGCTCCAGCAGGCAACTTGATATGGCATAACAAAAACTCAGTTAAATTACTTTGAAAATTTTTTCTTAGACCATGATTCTAATTCTAGCTTTTGTGATAACTAGCTTTGATCTTGGGCAAATCATTTGCCTTTGACACCTTTTACGCTTTCGATTTATTTTTGTTAATATTACACAGATGTATTCCTTGTTACCTACAGTAAATGATTTCTTTGAGGGCAGTGATGTGGGTGATAACATATGGATCTTTTACCATTGTTTATAATACCCAGGAAGTCTCTCTGTAATTGGGATCAAATTAATGAATATAGTGAGAACCACCTGCTAGAAACAAAATAAAATATTAATAAAAGCACAAACAGAACCTGAACTGTTTACATTACCTAAGGCTAGCAGGGAAGCATCCCTACCTTTTATTAGGCCTCTAACTATTTAAGAACATTGTCTGACATTCACAAGGACTTAAGAGCCACAGCCACACTGTACTTTATTATGAGAGAATATGCCGTTTCCAAGGAGAACCTATTCCCAGGCTTTTCTTCATCCTTCCTCTCAAAGATTTCACATGGCAGCAAGGGCGGGCAAAGGGGAAAGACTTGTCAATTTTAAAAAGTATGGGGTAGTTTGGTTTCTGCACTTCCACTGGAGAAAAATGTTGTGCATTATCCATTTATTTTTCAGGTTCCCTCAACCCCTTGTAATTGATACCAGTATTCAGTTCTTACTCCTGTGTAAACTACTTACGGCACTTACGGGCAGGCAGACAGCCCACAGAGGAAGGTTTAGGATTGCAGCATTCCCCCTTTACAGCACTCAGCTTCACTATAACCTAAAAGTAAGTTCTTGCTCCAGCGACTCTGGCCAGCATCCCCCCTTTCTGGGCATCCTTATGTTACTGGCTCCAGCACAGGTGGATAGGAGAGCTAAGCCGGCAGAAGCAAAGCAAAACTGAGGAAGGAAGAGAGGAGAAGTCATAAGGTCAAGGGAGTATAGTCTGTGACTAACAAACACTGAGATGGTTTTTATGTGTGATTTGCAAAATGTCTTTGGAGGCAATTCCAAAAGAAAAGTTTCAAAGCTGTCCTAATACCAGCGTCACGACAGAGAGTGCATGGCTCCTAAGGGTACCATTTTAAAGCATAATCATCATTTGATTCTACGAGTTATAATAGATTTTTCTTAAAAAAACACATTATTTTTTAAATTAAATATAAAAATCACTGCTCAAGTGATGGTTATAACCCACAAATGTAAGGAAATTTGTAGGATCTGTGGGTAGGCTTGAAACACTTTTAATTTTATAGTCTTAAGACCAAACTCAGCATTGTGTACTTCTGCGTTGGCCAATGTTAAAAACTTTGAGGAAATAATTTTTTTAAAAAAATGCAAATGAATGGCACATGTAATTTTAAAGTAATCCTGCCTTACAGAATATATGGGTGTTTGGCTGAAGCAGAATGAAGGGCCCACCTCAATTTTATATACTGAAGTAGCATAGTATGAGATTAATAGTTTTTGTAGTTCGGTAGACCTAGTTAACATCCTGGCTTCACCCATTTGTAGTTGAAGAATCCTCTGCAAATTATTTAACTTCTCTGAGACTCAGTTTTCCTACCTGTAAAATGCCTAGTGAAGTGCTTGGCAAACAAGATATTCAATGACTATCAGTTCCCCTTTAAGTGTGGTGTTTTTTGTTTTGTTTTGTTTTTTTCAAACTAAGGGTTTCAACCAATTGGTAGATTATAAAATCACTTGAGTATGTTGCAACCAGCATATTTTAAAAACTGAAACAATAAAAAACATCAGTATGCTGCACATAATGGTAAGAATTGTTCCATTATACATATGCTGAGTTTTGATAGAAATGCATTTTTTATGGTGGGTTACAACCAAAAAATTTCAGTCTCTGCTCTGCAGAGAAATTATCAGATTATTTTATCAAAAGGTCTTTAGGAGTGCTGCCTTTACCCACATAAACCTCTATAAATTTGAAGAACTTAATCAAAGTGCTTAAAGTGTCCCTTACCTTTTGTTGCAGTAAAAATAAGACATGCATCATAGAGAAGATGAATTTGATCTGATACTGTTGGGTATTAAATTCAATTTTAAGATTAGTTTGTGTGTCATATTGACTAATATATACTTCTAACACTAGAGTTCATAGATATATAACTTATAGTTGATTAAACACTTCTAGAAATTTCTAAAAAAAGTTGGCTATTAGGTTCTATTATGAAAATTAGATACTATTTCTGAATAATTTTAAATAAAACTTAAAAGGATTGTACATTGCCTAATCATGAAGACTGCTACAGAAATATTCCAATCCGGACGAGTAGTAAAAATCAAAGGCCTTTATGAGCACATACAATGGTGTCTCACACTGGCTCAGTAAAAATGAGAGCCCAAAACAAAACATGAGCATCAATTATGGGCCTCCTTTCTCCTTCAGGTCCTGGTATAAAACCAGCCTGACAGTATAATGAGTCCCTAGTTGTGTTAAGATTGTGGGCTTAAAAGCATAAACAATTTTGGGTTGGAAGAGTGGGAATACTATGCAGTGTTGAAGACTGGGCAATGTTGAAGAGTAGAATACTAAAAATTACTGATTTCAATGATATAGTTGAAGCGTGATGTAACTGTATCTTAAATGTATAATCTTAGCTGACTAGGCCAGATTGACCATTATCAGAATCACCTGTGGGACTGAAGGTTAGGAATCTTGTTTTAAATATGCACCCCAGGTAATTCTGATCCTCACTTTGGTTTGAACACCCTGTGTTAAAGGGACAACAATGATCAGAAAATAAAAAAGGTGGAGTTCAAAAATAATGATCCCAATGTTACAGGTCTCAATATCAAATACTGGATCAGAATCTGACACTTATTCAAAGTTCTTCCTTCTTGACATTATATTAAAGATACAAGTCAACAGGTAGCAATACAGTATTTGACATTTTCTAGTTATTTAATAACAATAAGATATGGTGCTTTCTCTTTGGAATTTATTGGTAAGAGTCAAAAAGTATGAAGGAGAAAGGTCTCTTTAGATTAGACACAGAAATAAAAAGTAGCAATCAATAAAAGTTATTAAGAGTAAGCTCAGCAAGAGAGAAGTGATAAACCATTCAACTCCCTGATGACTCTGGCTTCTGAGCAGAGAAAGCTCACATCTTCTGTGGTGTTGGTTCCCATCCCTCTGTCCTCAGAGAAGAGTGCGGAGTAAGGCAAAAGGTGGCTTTTCCTATTTCAAATGAGTGGAGGTGCAGGATGAGGCTGCCTGTAATCTTACATTCTTTCTTTCTAAATTTAAAACCTTTTTGTTGTTTGATATAGACACTGGATTGGGCTGGGCCATGCTTGCTGTCAAGTGTTGGGATTAGCACCACAAATCCTCCTTCAGGGCTGAGTGTTGGCACCAGGCTTTGTCCACCATCGCCTTGAATGTGAGAAAAGGCAAGCAGAATGGCAGCTGTGAAGAGGGACGGAAAGCACAGCAGACAGCAAAGCCTGGGGAAAAGAATGGTAGTAAGAGATGTGAGGTAGAAAGCTAGTTCTTAGCTTCACCAAGGGCTGGCTGAAAAGACCTAGAGTTAGAAACTCCCTCCCTGTGTGGCGGGTACATCAGCCCCTTGAGATTGGAAGATGCCCCAGGAAATGATCTGGCATATTCCCTGCCTGCTTACTTTTTAGCTCAAACTCCTAACAAAGTTGGAAATATTTAGAGATCCCCCTTTCTCCCTCCCTATCTTACCTAGAGATTATAGGAAAGGATGAATAGAGATGGGAGATAATTTTAAAAAAGCAGATTATGAGAAAAGCCCTCATTATACATAGGTAGAATTCACCCCACAAGTCAAAGAACTTTTGAAAAGTACAAGGGAAGGAAGGCAGAGGGCACTAGATCTTTCTTTCAGGTGAAGAGACAAGCTGACAAAGCAAGCTTAGCGCTGCCTTAATAATACTGTCTCCTACCATTTGAGATTTTGTCTTTATTTAAAGAGACAGAGGGAAGAGTTAAGGAGCTAGTGTCACAAATTAAGATGTTTGAGAGAGAGAAATTAGGCCTTTCTTTCACTATTAGTTTCCTTCATCAGAAAATATAGTTGAACCAAACTGCAATATGTTCACCGAATGGACTCCACCAGGTACTTCACTTGTGCCATTGCCAGATCTGGATTTCTCTATTTGATAAGAAAGGCTCCTGAACTCCCATTCTTTTCTTTGCTAACAGACCTAAACAATCTCCTACATTTAGAAGATAAAAAGCATAATTATAATATGCTTAGCCTTAGGGTCTCCAAATCAGGGTTATCAAAGAAACTATTCTTCCATAACCCAACATGTCCACACATCTCATGTCCTTATCAAAATTATGGGTTCAGTTTTCACATTTCCAGGAAGAAAATCTGCTTCCTGGCATCCTTTAAACTTTACCTGACAAGCATTATACACCCTTTAGTTCAGGCCCCTCAACTCCATTAACATCCCAGCCAACAAAAAAACATATCCACTTATCACAGTCCAATCCCACTTCAGCATCTACAGCCACTATCTTGATATAATCATGTTCCAAAAGCTGAGTGTCCAATAGCAGCAAAGGTCCATTAGGATAGATATGTTGGTGCCAATAATACCGAAGTTTGGTTTTTTAACTGCATTTTTTGTTAGTTTGGCTGTGAAGATCTGGACAGCTGGAAATGAGCTTCTCCGTCATTTTCTGTTTCCTTCTTTGTATCAATTTTCCACCTGTGAAGCCCAACACCCCACCACCAAGTGCAGCTGCAATTCCTGCCACTTTGAAGCCTGCAAGGAGGCCAATAGGGCCCCCCACTGCTCCTCCGAGGAGTGCACCTGCCACAGGCAGAACTGCCAGCTTGTATTTTGCAGCCTGTAAAAAAAAAAAAATTCAATTTAGAAATTGAGTTGAGAATATCTGCCTGTGGTGATGTGCATTTTCCTCTCATTACTCCTGGCACTGCCTCTTTAGCTCTTGGTACATAATTAACCTTAGAGATTGTACTGGGGGGAGGGGGCAGAGAAAGTATTCCACAGGTACTACAATCACTCCAGATCTCAGAATTTAGAGAAATGGGCTACAAAGAGTGGACTGCTACATATTGATTTTACCTGCAAAACAATCAAACCACTAACTACCTAGCAGGCTTATTTAAACAGTTTCAGCAGCCACAGATACCCTCAAGGCTTTTATGTTGCACAGAGATTATTCCAAGCTCTGTACCTGGGGTTAAAAGCAATATTCTATGGAAAATAGATTGGGCCCACTCCAATGCTGTCAAGTCCTTAGATTTTTGCCCCTACTGGATTCTGGCAAGCCTCTCTACTCCTCTCCCTGAACCTCTGCAAATATTCCCTTCTAACACCAAATGCCTTATAGTGGGGCTGCAGATTATTCTCTCTGAAAAAATTTCTCTCCCAACAGAATGAATTTTAGAGTAGAACATTACTACAGCCATTGATTTCTTACCCTACCTATGTGTCATTTCTTCCTTATTTCCTTAATTGCTGGTTCCCTCAAGATTAAAGAGAGCAGATCAATTGGGTTAATACTACAAATTCCTGGGAGCCAGAGTAACATTGATTTGCCAGCAGGAGCAGAATCTTACCTTCCCCAAGTTTCTGGTTCCCTCTTCAACATTCACAGCAGCACTGTTGACATGGTCTTCAATGCTGTCAATCTTCTCCTGCTGAGACTAGATGCAAAGGAATTATGAGTGAGCATTCCTGCTGCGGAACAGCAGAGAGCCAATACACACTATTTTAATTCCTGTAATCAGGGGCCTGTGTACTGCAGCCTTGCAGTCTTAATAGTGATTCATTAATAGCATCTGATAAACTATTTCCAAAGTACAAATTCACTTGAATGAAAAAAAGAGGGTGACTTAATTATTAGGTAATAAAAGGGTGGCACCTTTACAGGAAAAAGCAGCTCACACTAAAATTCATTCAAGCGTACAAACATTCTCCAAATGAATCTGTTTTCCAGGAGAAAAGAAATCCAAATAAGCATTTACATGTCATGTTGGGTTTGATGGGAAAAAAACAAAATCAAACAAAAAACCTCCCTAACTTATCTCTTTGAAGATTCAGTTTAAAACAGGCAAATTTGACTTAGGAGTAAAACATCTCTGACCCAATAAATACAAATTATTATGTTTTAGAAATAAGAATACAATATAGTTTGATCTGCCATGAAATCTTTTTACTTCTGATATGTAGTAAGGAGCAGAGAGTGAATTTACTGTCCTGTTTACACCTGTACAATGTAATACATTTTAAAATCATGATGAGTTAAAATGCTTCTGATCAAATATATTAATAAATTATTCTACATAAAACGATAACACCTGTACTAACACAATAGAAATTGTGACTCATGGAATCTCTGGGTAGAAGGAATGTTTAGGTCAGAGTGCAAGAGTCCCCTCAGATGTGTGAAGCCCCACTACGTTTCTGACAAGCGGTTACTGAACCTCTGCTCATACATATACTTCCAGTGACAGGAACTCATTACTTGCCACAAGAACACATTCCCATTTTTAAATCAATTTCATTTATGCAGAACTTAAACATATGCACTCATTTGAAGGGTGTAGTATGAGTTTTAACAAATGTACAAACCCATGTAACCACCATCACATCGATATGTAGGCTATTTAGGTATGTGTGTTTTTTAATTCACAGGAAAAAGAGAATCCCTTTTTGATCCCAGCTAAATGCCAACTTCTACAAAAACTGTGAAATAATTCAACTTTAATCCTGAAGTAATTGATTGCCCTTATATAACTGACTTCTTCGCTTATCCTGAAGCAGATATAACACTCTTCTAACTGTAATCATTTCATTTGAGAACATGAAACCCAAACACAACTAATCCCCCACCCCCCATTTGCTTCCTATCAGCATTACTGGCTCCTTCCCTTTTCATACAAGGATGGATCTTTTCCACTGTTAGACCTTTCATAGTATCCCTTCATTCCTATATTCTCCACCACCATCTTGACATTTCTAACACAATCCCTAAAAAGTCCTTTAACAGTTTCTCTTCTAACATCTTGGTGAGAGACAAATACAATAGTGGTTCTCACACTTGTGTGCACCAAAATCACCTGGAGGACTTCTCAGAACGCAGATTGCTGGGTCATGCCCACAGAACTTCTGATTTAGTAGGCTGAGAATTTGCATTTCTAATGGTTCCCAGGTGATGCTGATGCTGCATGATGAGTCCATGATTCTCACACTTTAAAAACCACTAGTGTACATACATGATAGGATTAAGGGCACAACCTTTGGTCAGTCGTCCTGTGTTCAAATCCTACAACTATCACCATGTGCCCATGGACAAATTACTCAAGAGCTTTAGGTGTCAGTATTCTCATCTCTTAAGTGAGGATAGGCCCAGCCGGGCGTGGCTCAGCAGTTGAGCGTCGACCTAGGATCCAGGCGATCGGGGTTTGATTCCCAGTCAGGGCACATGCCCGGGTTGTGGGCTCGATCAATGACTCTCTCATCATTGATGTTTCTATCTCTCTCTCTCCCTCTCCTTTCCTCTCTCTGAAATCAATAAAGATATATTTAAAAAAAAAAAAAGTGAGGATAATGATACTTATATCTCCTAGAGTTGAGGTCAGGATAAAATGAGATATGATGCTTGAAAATTCTAGAGCAATAAAATATTAGATTTCTCCTAGCATTAATTCATTCAGTGTTTCTTTTCCTCAGACAATAAAACTTCTTTAATGTTACCTTCCCCTCGCCCGCCCAACCCATAAAAGCATAAGGACCAGCACTTGTCTGGATTACTGATACCCTATCTTTGTTTCCTTTGGGTCATCCCCAACACTTTCCATTCTTGCTTGAAAGTCTATGCTAGAAGATAAATCACAGGTTTAAAGCTCTATCATCAACTTCCATATCTTGATGAGTTGAGAGGTAAAGGGAAAATAGCCAACATGTCTCTTTTCTCTCAGCCCCAAAAGAATTCCATCAAGATGGCAGAGCCTACCAGGATTGTTATTTCTAATACTCCAAATGTGATCTCAAGACCGCAGGGAAATCTCTTTTAATGCTCCTTCCTAAAAGGTTGGATACTGACGTCCTATGACTTTTTTTTAAAAATAACATAAAATTCTAAAATAATTTTGTTTTAATATTTTTTTCACAAAAATACTTTGGAATAATTGGAGTAAGGACTACAAGACAAAACAAGGCCTGGGATTACTGATTATCTGAACTGTAATGCTCCCCATCACTGCAATCACCAGTACTTAATGAGGCCTGTCTCACCCTGGGGAGTAGCCCACACCTCTAAGCACTTATTCACTGACATAAGGAAGCTTGCTTAAATATGGGCATGGAAATGAGGCAGACTGTAGATCAGCCCCTAGCCTGGGATCAATAGTCTTCCCTCCGTTGTACAGATCTGCCTTCTTCCCCTATTTTGCTTGGTTTGAATCCCAAACTTTGCCCATATCTTCAGATTCAGCATCTTGAGTAAGGAGGACTCAATGACAGAACAATTAGAGTTAGGCAGCTGGTGTCAGAGTTGTCAATCACTGTTCCACAGCATGACCAGCCAGACTCCATTCAGAGCCAAATCTGGTCACCACTTGTCCACTATGTCCTTGGCTCTTTATGTTGGGCCAAACCACACATGCACAACCTTATCTCAGTACAACAACAGTGGCTCAGAAGCCTCCTCAGCTCTGTCTGCCATCCTCCCCTTCTTGCTTCTGATTTGCTTATGTCTGCTTTCATATGCCTGTGCTGCCCACATTTGACATCTTCAAACACTCTTCCTGACATTATATACTTTGGTGGTTCATATATGTTCTCAGCATCCCTTTAACAATGAATTAAATCACTTATGAGGGTCACTGTAGTGTTTCTCAAACTAGAGTAATGCATGGATTTTTCCCATTTTAAAGGAAAAAATTTTCAAAAGACTAAATACGTCTATGAATTTCATTTTAAGAAACATTGAATTAGGTCCCATATCTGCCTAAAAAAATAAGTGAATCATAATTAGGAGTGAAGAAAATTTGATTTATTAAGTTAATATTTGTCAAGAAGAATGCAATTTGTGCATTTGAAGTCAAACTTCAAAACTAATGAAGAATTGTTTTTCTTTCTTTCTTTAGATTTTTTAATTGATTTTGAGAGACAGAGGGAGGGAGAGGGGGAGAGAGAGAGAGAAGCCTTGATCAACTGCCTCCTGCATGCCCCCTACTGGGGATTGAGCCTGTAACTCGGGCACATGCTATGACTGGAAATCGAACCGGCAACCTTTTGGTGCACCTATGACACCCAACCAACTGAGCCGCACCAGCCAGGGTGAACTGTTTTTCTCTGGAATGCTGTTGTGGACAGTTACAGGCCCAGCATCTTCAAATAATAGTAATACATTCAACAAGTTCATCTCCAAATCCATTTACATCAATAAAAATGCTCTTCCTTGACTAGTCTTGCTAATAGTTGTGTAGTTTTATTATTGTGCTTGAAAAGCTACGGATTTCTTTAAGAAGCAAATGCCAAAACTCCAGATATTTTTCTTTATTACTAACTCCAAATTGCAGCCAGCTTTCAAGGCCAGCTTTACTCTTACATCTTGACCCATCCAGATAACATTGAGCTATCCTGGTTCTGAACTCTGAAGGTATGTAATCTTTATCCTGAATCATATGCAATCACATACACAGAAAAGCCCAGAAACAAACATACAAATGCTATGATATACTGGCAGAATACAGGATTATATTCACCTAGAGTAGACAATAAGTGAAGTAGGTAAGTAGGATGCTGATATCAGGGGATTTAGCAATAGGAAAAGAACTGTAGGAACTATGGTGCTAAAATATCTAAAGGTAATGTTGGTAGCAAAAGCAGAATCCTAAGCAAGGAGCTTAACTGAATCAAATAATGGAGGAGCGAAAGCAGGAATGCAGTTGGGGCAGTAGGAGGGAAGGGGATAAGAAGTAATAGACATCATTTCATTTAGTCCTCCCATCAATTTTACAAAGCTTATTGTCGTCAAATAACATCCTGAAGGTCACATAGATAATAAATGGAGGAATCTGATCTAATCCACTACAACCCAGCTTTTATGCATCCTGAGTAAAACTGGATTTAAAAATCCATAGGGAATAAGGCAAAATGTAGAGACAAAACTGGACCTGCTGCTAGGGTGACCTGCTATTGAGCAACTGGCCCAGCAGCCTTTAAATTCCCCTTGACTAGAAACAGGGTAGGTCTCACAGTTACAGGAAAGAGGGCACTTGAGCAATAAAGGTTGAAGAAAAATGAAGATGGTGCCTAGTACATATTAATTTATTAACATCTACTGGATCACACCTGGATCTCTCAATGGCTTTGTAGGTTCTTTTTTTAATTGTGGTTAAAAATTGACATATCACAAAATTTACAGTTTTAACCATTTTTAAGTATATAATTCAGCGGCATTAAGTACATCCACAATATTATGCAACTACCATGACTATACTATAGGTTCTTTTTTATACTATTCTCTATTCTTCATTACGCTTAGCTCAGTGCTATGCACATAGAAAGTGCTCCATAAATAAATGGTTAACTTGCCTAGATACTATCATGTCCATGTGATGATAATGAGAGGATGTGGTCACTCTGGTTATGTTCCCAAGTCATTTGGTGCCTAAATGGAGCTTCTGTGAATCTTTGACCATGTGGTCATGAGAACTCAGTCACTCTGGAAATAGTAATCAGGGGTTCTCCTTTGAGCTATTGCCTAATAACAATCTGTCCTTACACAGATTATTATAAATAGGACATTTGTATAGAGCTATGGCTATAGCCAAATCCTTCCTGCACGAACCTTCCTTAGATTAGGGGTTAGGAACTGCTTACATAACCTAATAGTATATGTAACTGTTAAACGGCCACAAACTGTTAATTTTCCTTTCATGTGCCTATCGCATTAGAAGGGAACTTCTAATGTGTTTGTCTCGAATGAAAACTTTTTACATGTTTAGTTTGATTTTTAAATCAATTTTATTGAAGTATAATTTACATACACTATATCTTACACATTTCATGTGTACATATCAATGACTTTTGACAAATGTATGTATTTGTATAACCAGACATGCACAGATTTTACAAGCTGCATTAGATCAGAGATTATGCATTACAATTAAATAAATCTTGATTGTAAAAACAACAAATATTTTTGGGTTCTTGTATCATTCTCTTTTATATACAAGTATATTTATAGATTGTACAGGTATCTAATTCAGAAACTTCAAACATTTTGCTTCTTCTGACTTAGAGGCATAAAAAAAAGGAAAATGCTTTAAACAATTTACTGTATTCAATTTTAAGCATTACATTTCAAGAGAAAAATCCACAAACTAGAAAACAAGCAGAGCAAGGGTCTAGTACTGAAAAGTCTAGAAATAATATTCTAGGAATACATTAGAGAATCAAGCCTTTTTAAGAGAAGAAAATATGGTGAGGTGGGGTAGAGTGAGGAAAGAGAAGTTGGTCTAGTCTCAAAAAGTTGAAAAGCTTTTATATGGGAGAGAAAACTTGTTCAGCATATGGCTCCAGAGAGCAAAAGTACCAGAGGGAAATTATTAGAGGGCAGAGTTTACATGAGGAAGAACTTCTAAGAGTTAGAGCCTTCACATGGGATGGATGAAATATGAAGCATCCTTGCATTGAAATAGTTCAAAAGGAGACAAAAAAACATCTAATTGAGAAGTTGGGGCAAGAGTAGAAGAATTAGATTAGTTAGATGACCTCTTAAATCCTTTCCTTACAATTCTGAGATTGTGTAATCTAGAACCTTCTTATAATTTAAAGCCAGGTGTCAGGGGAACCATAAGTAAAAAATGTATAACCCCCAGATCATAGTTTGATCAAGAACAAAGAACTAAATCTAGCCAGAAGCATAAGCAGAAATAGGTTTGCTCTGGCATGTACTTACATACATACACACACACAAAACTCATACATCCAACCTTCCCATAATTCCTGGGAAGAAAAAATAATTTAGAAAAATAGTAACAGAAAATTTGTTCTTTCTTTTCCACCAAATTTACTTTATGTTCCCTAATCTATGTTAACAGTATCACCAGCTACCTGATTATGCATAACAAAGCCTTAATGTTTCTTATCTTTGACTTTTCCATCTTTTTCCAACTTCCACCCCAGAAATACTTCTCAGTTGTCCTTTAGCTTTACCCAACAGTCCTCCCTTATTCATGGGAAATACGTTGCAAGATCCCCAGTGGATACCTAAAACTTCAGACAGTACTGATCCCTATATATATATACTGTGTTTTTTCCTATACATATACACACTTTACAGCTTTCCTTTGGCATATCCAAATTGCCAGCATCACTACTCTTGCACTTTGGGGCCATTATTAAGTAAAACAAGGCTTACCTGAACACAAACACTGCAATACCACGACAGTCTATCTGATAAACCAAAGATGGCTGTTATGTGACTAAAGGCAGGGAGCATATACAGTATGGATACTATGGACAAAGGGATGATTCATGTCCTGGGCTAGACAGAGCAGACGGTGCCAGGTTTCATCATGCTATTCAGAACTATGTGCAATTTAAATCTTATGAATTATTTCTGGAATTTTCCATTTAATATTTTCACACCACGGTTGACCACAGTAGCTAAAACCATAGAAAGTGAAATTGTGGAAAGTAAAACTGCAGATAAGGGGGAACTACTATACTTGTAATGCCATTGCTGTTGGTGAAACTCTTGCAATCGATTCCTAACTAGTCATCCTGCCTATAATCTGCCTCTCTCCCAGGCTATTAGTCACACTGCCAACAGTGATCTTTCTGAAGCACAGACTGGATGGATCACACCACTCTAACCTGCTCAAAAATTTATATTGGCTCCTACAAAGTAAAGTTGAAATTCTTTGGGATGGCCTTCAATGCCATCTGAATCTTATCCTAACCCTCCTTGCTTTGCTTGTCCATGGTACCTTATGCTTTGATTGTACTGGAATACTTGTCATTCCTGAAATGTACTATATTCCATGTTTTGGTTCAGCTGTTTTCAAATGCACCGCCTCACCCTATCTGTGGGCACTTTACTCAATTTTCAGGGCTCAAGCAAATGCTACCTATCTTGTGCAGTTATCGTTAATGCTTCCACCTCACAACCCCTGCCTCCCTCCCTTGGAATTAAATGCTTCTTCTTGGAGCTTATAATACTTCTCGCCATACCTTATTTTTGCATTTAACAATCATGCTTGAAATTTCAGTTTTGGGGGTCCAAGCTTATCTCTACCCATTGTAATCCTTGAAAGCAGAGAGCAGGCTTCATTTATTTCTATATCCAATCTTATCAGACCCCCAGTGCCAAGGATCTAAAACAGTACTTTTTATATAACAAGTGATTAATAAAATGTTTATTGAACTGATCTGGAATTTGAGAACAGTTAGACTTCTATCCATGGCCCAATAGCAGTCTTAAAAATTATAACTTCTATTAAAATTCTAATCAAAAGTTTAGTGATTGATAAAAACCTTTTAGCTATTAATCTAACATCTCTGAGCCAAAAACAGTTATATACTTACATTCACTAGGAGAGAGAATTCTGTGACCAGTTGGCTAAGTTCAATTAAGTCCTTAAAAAGAGAGAGAAAGAGGAAGTCAGTTACTTTTATGCCTCACAGTTACCAAAAGGAAAAAAAAAATTAACATACCGCTTCTAAGGTTTCCCATGATTCTGCAGCATTTTGATCTCGAGGAATTTCAGGCAATGCATATATCTGAGTCATACTCTGAGGATCAGCTTCAGTTTCAGTAGTGTGCAATGCTCCTGGATGAACATAGCCTCATGTTTAGAGTTTATTTGCTTTGTTAAAATGGTGATAGCATGAATCTACTCCATAAAACAACTGTCATGGAAAATGCTTACTAATTAAATTCAGGCTGAAAGTAAATCGATCATTCTATAAAAACAGGTTTATCTATAGGCAGATTGTTCCCAGGTTAACAAATATTTTTTCTTTAATTATTCTACAAAGTTACCTTAAAAAAATGGCTACAAATACTCTCCACCCACTCTTAATAACTAAGACTAGATGTAGAAGTACCAAAGGAAAACTATTCTATTTGGTCAGTGTTCCATGAAGAGATACCCAGGTTTAATAGCTACCACTGCTAAATCAGTATCCTTTTTCTTTGGCTATTTTAGTAATATCAGATTCTTAAGCTGTTAAAAATACGAAAGTGACGTGTTTTTAACAACGAAAATCAGTCATTTTGGGTAACAAATTTGTCATCAAAACTAACACCTCGCCCGGCCGGGCGTGGCTCAGCGGTTGAGCGTCAACCTAGGATCCAGGCGATCGGGGTTCGATTCCCGGTCAGGGCACATGTCCAGGTTGTGGGCTCTATCAATGACTCTCTCATCATTGATGTTTCTATCTCTCTTTCTCCCTCTCCTTCCTCTCTCTGAAATCAATAGATATATTTTTAAAAAATAAAATAAAATAAAACCCCATATTTTTAAAAAAACACACAAAAAACTAACACCTAATACCATATGTACATTTTTGTACATATTGTCACCCCTCTTCTCTTCAAAATCATTTTTCTGGCCCATACCTCCAATACTTCTAATCCTTTTCTGAGTTTTAAAAAGTCATCAACCCATTAAGGCTTTCCTCATTAAACACTGTTATGATGATGAATTAATTTACGCTCCCAAACTTGACCTTTAAATCTTTCTTATTTCCTTGTACTGGTATCAATCATTCATTCATTAAACTTATATTTATACAGTGCCTATTACATTCCAATCAGTGTGCTAAGATGCTGGGGACACAATGGTAAACCATAAAAACAGTTCCAAGGAGTCAACATAGTACAGTGGTTAAGAGTATGGGCCTCATCAGAAAGACCTGGGTAAGAATCCTGGTCTGGCTATTTACTAGCTCTTTGACTTGGGAAGGTATTTCATCTCTCTGACTTATTTTCCTCATTTATAAAATAAGATGATTCTCTGTACTGTGCCTGGCTTATATATCAAGTGTAAGTGGTTAACAGTTACTACTACTGCCATTGCTGCTGCTACTATTATTAATGGAGCTTACCATATAATGTGTGATACAGATGTGTTAACAGGCAAGCTCAGTATAGTCTGATAAGAACTGTGATATGGTAAGTATGGAATGCTATGTGAGCACAGAAGAGAGACAGTTAACTAGATTTGTGGAGGAGAGGGTGGTCCAAGAAGGTTCTGAAGCTAAAGCCTGAGGATGAGCAGAAACTATATCACTGAACTGGGGCAAGAGTAAAGGGAGAATCAGAAAGTATCAGGTCAAGGAGAATAGTATGTGCATAGGTTTGGGAACTGAAAGGAGTTCAGTATAGCTGAAGCATACTCTATGACAAGAGAAAAGCAAAGGTTGAGGTTGGAAATCTGAGGGTGATATTACTCATGGCATTGTGAACTATGTTAAAGAATTTTGTCTTCCTCATAAGACCAATATGGAACTATTAAAAGGAATAGGAGACTATTGGGAAGCTGGAGGGTACCGTATCAGATTCCAGATTTAGAAAGGGAACCAACCATAGCTATGGTGTGAAGAATAGATTAAGGATGGAGTTGAAAAGTAAAAAAAAATTAGAGAGTGAAACACCAGTTGGAAGGCTTTTCAGTATGTTGGGTGCAAAACGATGATGATCTGCTCTAGGACAGTAGCAGTGAAAATGTAAAGAAGAGATCTGAAAGTCTACTTTCCTTTTGTCCCCCTTACTTCAAGCTTAAAACAATGCCTGCCACTTCCGTATTTTCTGAGCACCCATTATGTATTGTGCTGGGTACCAGGGATGAAAAAGTAATACAAAGTACTTGCTCTCAAGGAACATATTTAGAAGAGTTAGAGATACAAAGAGATAATCAGTAAGAGAATTCATTAATATCTAAGTAAATATAGATACACATAGTGCTTTGTGGGCATTCCGTGCTGGGGTGGCATCTGACCCAGTTTGGTGTGGTGTGCAGCTTATGGGACAGCTTCCTAAAAAAGATGATCTTACTAGGCAAAGAAGATAATACAAATCTAGGTAGAGAAACCATCATGAAAAGGCCAAAAAGAAAGAAATATAGCTTAACATAAAATCAGCAGTTTGGTCTTGCCAAAGCATAAAGTAAAAGCCATAAAGTTACAAGTATAAGACAGTATAGATGGTTAGAAGGGGTCTTGTAGTCCAGTTAAAGACTTTGGACTTTACCTGGTAGATGGTGGAGAGCTACTGAAGGGTTGTGAGCAGGGAAATGACAGTGACATGTGACACCTGATCTAATCCAAAAAGTAAGTCATTTTAACACTAAGTCCAACTTCTCTCTCAATTTCTCTTTCCATCCTAGCCTATAGAAATGGTATTTTATAAAACTGCATTACTAGTTCACTTTCATAATTTATGAATGTTTTACCTCTGGAGGAAAAAAAATCTGTTTAAATTGTTTAGGAAGGGCATAGTCAGTCGACTAAAAAGTAATTTGTAAGCTTATCAGAATTGATCGTGTTCTTTTAATTTTGAATCTTAACTTATCTGAATACATTTCCTTATCTTAAAGGAAGAGCAAAAACATGAGATACAGAGTAAGTTTTACATTACAACATTATTGCAAGATCCAATATTTTAAAAGCTCTCTATGATCTTTACAAATGCTTCAGAGTTATTTACCCCATGTCCTAACGTCGCATAAAGATACTTTCATTTTAACTTCAATCGAGATAAATGAAGCACTCTAAGATCTTTCTTCCACTTAATATTCCTATTATAAGAAGAACTCCAACTTCTTTAGAAGCATGATGAATAATGATAACTTTGTTATTAACATACAAAATGTAAAGCATAAATCATAAACACAACATCCACTCTAAATATTTGTAAGGCATAATCTTTGTACTATTAGAGAGAATTCAAGTAAATTATGCCAGGATATATAACAAAATGAGGAGAAATTATCATATATAATTCTTGATCTAAAAATGAAGGGATGGGAAATGTTTGACATTTTAGGCAAACATTAAAGATTTCCCTCAGTAAAAAATAAAAAATGTTTAAGTCATTTACATCTCATTTGAAACCAAACTGCGTATGCATCTTAGTTCAAATGAAGTCTTAGAACAAAGAAATCTGTTCTCTTCCATGGAAAATCTTGCTGTAAACTTACAAGGCTGAACATCACTAATCAATTCAAGGCATGACTAATAATTAAGAAAGGAAACCCTTTAATTTCTACAACTTCCATAATTCACTTAGTCCAGCTTGTATTAAAAATCTGTACCTCAGTGGTCATCCACTGACTTTGAACTTTTACAAATTGCTATAGACATGAGGAAGCAAAACTGAGACATATTATAGCTGCAGGAAAAAAGGCAAAAGAACTTTTATTCTGTCCACATAAGTAAAAATTGCTGTTGTTTTATGGCATAATAATCTCAGCTAGTTCTATCTACATGGAAACAACTGCAAGTGTCAGAATATATCACTCATCACTGTTTTTTTTCTTTTCTTTTTAAAATATATCTTTATTAATTTCAGAGAGAGGAGAGGCGAGGGAGAGAGAGAGATAGAAACATCAATGATGAGAAAGTCATTGATCGAGCCCGCAACCCAGGCATGTGCCCTGACTGGGAATCAAACCCCGATCGCCTGGATCCTAGGTCGACGCTCAACTGCTAAGCCACGCCCGGCAGGGCTTATCACTGTTTTTCAAACTCCAGTTTTAAAATCTTATGATTGATTATAAACTCAAACATTAAGATATATTTCGCTGAAGTGAGAAGCTTAATAACACAGACATAAGACTTTTCCCTTCTCTATATATGTCTAAACATCCATTCATTCACTCCTTTTCTCCTCCTCACAATGCCCCTCGCCCCTTCTTTCTTTCTCCATACTTTATGAAGGGCAGTGATTCTACTAAGAATTACAACATAATATATAAAAAATTTCCAATAGTTCTTTGGTCTCAGCAGCAGAAGCGAGAGGACAAAGAGAATGTCATCGGTAGGTAAGTGCCACAACAAGACGCACACGCTGCACCGCCGCTGTAGCTTGAAGAACTACCACCTTCAGTAGTTCACCTATGACAAGCGCGGCTACCCTGCCAAGCAGAACAAGAAGCACCAGAACTGGTCACAGGAGGCACCTCAAAATTGTATACCGCAGATTCAGGCATGGATTCCGTGAAGGAACAACACCTACACCCAAGAGAGCAGCTATTGCAGCATCCAGTTCATCTTTTTTTTTTTCCTTCTTCTTTATAGTACTTTTTATTCTATATTTGAAAGTCTTTGGGGATGAAAAAATTAAAGGAAAGAGTAAAATGAGTTCAAAGATTTGTAGCATTTATCATGCATTCTGAAAAGCAGGCTAAATGTTACTTCAAAAAGTAATAACTTTTAAGTGTATTTGCTCTGTATTAATTTGGGATTTCAATGTAATAATGTTCTGGTTTAAAAAACATTTTTCCCACTAAACTTTACTATATTAGAAAAAGTATCATTATGAATCTAAATTAATTCAAAAGCATTTCCTGATTTTCTCATGTTCTGACAGCTTAAAAATATTGAAATGAATTTAATGATCACCTACATAAACCTATCTATCAAAATAAAATGACTTCTAAGTCATGGCTTAACTTACCTGCAAAGGAGGGTTGTTAAGAAAATTAAAACCAATTGAAACCACATCTTCTGAATAATATACAAAAACCACTTACAGGTTTTACAAAACAGTTCAGTACATGTATATACCTGTGATAAAATCTAATATTTCATCAAATTGAACATGGTGGTCTGAAGTTCCCAGAAGTTTTAAGATTGGATTCATTTCTTTTGTGAATATTTAAAATGTAATAAGATTCTGTTCCTATAGTGCTGGTGAAGTTGTGTGCTGAATGCGGAGTAAGAAAGACAAAGATGGAGAGAAGCAATGATGCACTCTGCATGAGTTGGTACACCTTTCTAAATACGATTCAAATCTGTAGGCTCATCACTTCTCGTGGTGGGAAGAAATATGCTAAAAATGAAACTAGACACACAAGTGAGACAGAAGGGAGTTTCTCAAATCGAGCAAGACTGGCAGAAAGATTTGCTTTAGGAACTCGCAGAAGCTGGACAAAAGAAACAGCAAAAATTCTCCAGAGAACATAAAACACCCTATTCTACTTCTTATTTCTATCTGTAAATGAAAAACTATTTTTGTATTTTGATCTCACTCATGGAAATGTGACAACATTGCTCCTGAATCTCTGCTGATGTTTCCAACCAGTTTATTTAGAATCAGATTGGCTTTTTAAAGGAAAAAGTATTTTAAGGCACTTAACTTCTATGCAAATCAAACACTTTTTTTTCCTGTATAGGCTGTCACTACTATGAGTATCTAAAGCAAAAATAAAGAAATCCAGAGAATGTTGGATAAAAACATGTAGAATGACAGAAAGATTCTATAGCTAAAAGAAGGCCGCATGTGAAGCAAATCCAATTCCTACCCCACTACTAAAATTTTATGCAAATTAGTACTTTCTTTTCATATTCTTCTCCTCCCATCCTCTCAATTATTTTTTAAATAATATTTCTGGATTTAAAGCAACCTTGAAGAAACTCTCATATCTGGTGTAAAACTCAGGCACTTGGTGAAGCAGTTAATTTGAACTGCTTAATTTTGGAAATGGATGCAAAGTCAAAGCGCAATGTGACAAGCAGACCATTCAGAATTTGAAATTCTAACATTGTTTTAGGTATAACTTTGGAATTTGATTTTATAAATGGAATGACTGTCTTAAACCAGAATTGGTGGCACAGATTTTTTAGTTTCTCCCAGTGTTCAAGTTATTAGGTTTTAGGCCAATTTGGTGTTCTATGAACTGAGAAGTTTGAGAATCGACAGAGTTGGAAAATAAACTTCACCTGTTATTTCTTCTTTCTCATCTTCTGGCTCTGCTCCAATCTTTTTCATTTCCTCTGTATACATGCTTCTCAAATTTTGCCAACATTTTTTTTTAATACTAGTCAACTTCCTCTGCAGAAAGTTAATTGCCAGCAAACTGGGTAAACTGCCTTTTCTAATAATCACCCAATCCTCTGATGATATATAAACCCAAGTTTGTTGAGCCCAAACAGTCCTACTATTAGAAACACAAATAATGCAATAACAAAATAAAAATGAAAAGAAGTATTAGAATAGTATCATGTTGTAAGTAAACTCTCAGAAGTGAATTTGTTTGCCAGTGATGGACAATTCAAAGCTAAATAGCAAAAAAGATTGATGCCAGCAATGCTTTCCAGAAAAACCAGCATATCTTCACTGTTATTACTGCCATCACAACTGTCAAAATATCTGGGTGGATAAGATCGCCCTTAATCACATGGAATGATAAAGCCCAGTTTCTCTACATATGCACGTAAAATATCAGTTTGTACTAAATGATACGAACAGCATACAGCCCCATCAATATGGTGGTGATAATTATATATGATATATATAATTATATATTTATATATATTTATTATATAATTATACATATCATATATATTATATATATTTATTATATAATAATATATATCATATATATATATGTGATAATTAAATAGTAACTACCAACTATCAAAAAGCATTCTTTCCAAAAACTCTTCAACTAAGGGTTCAGTGCTAACATTTCCTTCTTCCCAAAACAACACTTTAGGTACACAGGGTGACATGATTATAGCAGATCTGAAATCACAAAACTGTCTCTAAAAAGATTTACTCATATTTAAAAACATTTATTAATGGTCCACTATGTGCCAAGCACTATGTACTATGTGCTATATACTTACTATGTGCTAGGTACTAAGAATACAATAAAAGCAAGATTACCCAGAAGTTCAGGATGATGGCCTAAATGTTTCTATTTCTCTAAAAATTATTGGATCATCAGCACTGAAAATATCAGGCTAAAAATAATTAGGAGCCTCCTAAGTAAAGGAAAAGAGGGAAACTGGGCAGGTGTAGAATCTCTCAGATTCTATGTTAATTTGTAATTTATGTATACCCCACCTTTTCCATAAAGATTTAGGGCAGCTTACAGCATATATAAAATGTAACAAGATGGCATAAATTAAAAATTAAAAAGAAACTCTAAAACATAAAAGGGCAATAATTATAAAATAGAGCCAGGATTGTTTAAAAATTTGGCTTTTGGTAGTTAAAGATTTTGGATTTAAGCTTTCTAGTAGAAAAACCTTAGCAGTGTTGCCATTCAATACCCATAAAATTGAAGGAAAAAAAAAGACCATTTGCATTGAAGTACTACTATGCATTAAACTACGAATTTTTTTCAGACTTCCTTATATAGACATTACTATAATACAATCAACAATTATCAATTACATCCTTAGTAGAGATATAATGAGAAGTTTCACTGGGCTGTTTCTTAGAGTGTCACTTCATAAAAGTTGATGGCATAACCTCCAATACAGATTTTTTTTTTATGCTGTCAGTTAAATTCAGAAAACTGAGCTGGGTGATAGCTCTAACATCCCCTGTGAAAATCAGAATGCCTAAGAAAGAAACATGATGACTAGGCCACCCTTGCAGTTGGAGATGAGGGAAGAGTACCCTGTAGACAAGGATGACATTCTCCTTAGAAAATACAGTAAAGTTTATTTTTAATATATAGACATATAGGTACTTAAAGCCCTGAAGTCCCACTTTATATAGCATAGCCTCAAAATTTTTACTCTTCAAAATTTCTAGGATATGCATTTCCAGGCACACTCAGAGTCCAAGAATTCAGTATACTGGAATAGAAGGCAATCCCTGAAGACATACAATATCTGCAATATCTATACAAAAAGATGAACTTTAATTAACTGTATCATATTGATCAAGAATAAGACTAGTACATTACCACCAACAGTCACAGATCTGGTCAAAGAAGGCTGTAATATAGTTTCTTCATCATTAAATTGTTTCTCAAGTTCTTCTACAGATTCCTGACGGAGTTGGAGAAATTCTGCCGCTGCTGCTGCTGCTTCTTCTTTAACAGGATCTATCATTTTCTTCAGAAGTCTTAGGTCATCTTTCTGGACTTTCAAACAAAGTTTCTCCATTTCTCGGATATTGGAGCGGAGTTGCTATAAAAAAAAAATCATTAAAGCCACCATATATCTTAGTATAAAATATCTTTATTTTCAGAGGTAATTTGTGATAATGGTTAAGAATGAAAATGATTACAAAAGAAGGTATGCATAACACTTTTCTATGTTTCATGTCTCTGGCCAAAACCAGCTTCTTTAGAAACTCACATCCTCGTACTTTGAATTTATTTAGTATTTTTCCTTTATATCAAACACTGGAGAAACATATAATGAAGAAAAATTTAATGATTTCCCCACTTCACCAATCCCACTACCTCTCTTAACTCACATTTCGCTTCGCTCATGCCAACACTAATATACGTAGCCTTTTTTTTTCTTTTTACAAAAAATGTATAATCTATAATTTGTCATTTCTCATCCCAACTTAACAGTATCATCACATATATACCTCCTGGTCAATGGTTGTACTGTATTCCATAATATGGATAAAATATAATTTATTCAAACACTCCTCCAGTGATCAACATTCATTCATTTTGTGTCCAGTTTTTAGTTATTACAAACTATGAAACAAATATTCTTTATTATAAATCCTAATATACTATAACAGTATATATTAGTATTAGAGTAAATATTATTAATATATATTTTGTAGAAATGATTCCCAAAACTGAGAGTACTGAGTAGTCAAGGGATAATGTGCATTTTTATTTCAATAGCTATTACAGCTTTTTCCCAAATGTTTGTAACAATTCATACTAAAATATGAGTACCCATTTCCCCACATACTGCCAGTACTACACGTTATCTCATTGTTTTTTACTTTATATTTCTGTGTGTGTGTGTGTGTGTAATCTTTTAATACATTGTTAAACTCAATTTGCTAATATTTTATTTGGAATTTTAGCAAATGTATATGTATGTGTGCATAAGTGAAGAGTGTATACTATCTTTACTGGGTTTAAACTTACTTTACAGGTTTAAGGTGTGCTAACTTCATAAAATGGGGAGCTTTCCACCTTTTCAACGGTCTATACTTTGAAAAACATAAAACTACTATTCTTTGACAATTAAATAGAATTAATCTTTAAGAATGATCTCAGTATAATGATTTTAAAAATTATAGATCTCCATGCCCAGTCGGAGTGGGTCAGTGGTTGAGCATCGACCTATGATCCAGGAGATAGTGGTTCAATTCCTGGTCAAGGCACACGCCTGGGTTGCAGGCTCGATCCCCAGTGGGGGGCATGCAGGAGGCAAACAATTGATGTGTCTCTCTCACATTGGTATTTCTCTCTCTTTCTCTCTCCCCCCGACCCCCACTGCCTGCCTGCCTCCCTCTCTCCCTCTGCTCTCTCCCCTCCCTCCCCTCCATTCCACTCTCTCTAAAAACCAATGGAAAAAATATCCTCAGGTGAGGATTAACAACAACAAAAAGTAATGAAAGGAATGACTTTCTTGGAATTGGTCCTGAAATAAAAGCATAGACTAGTGAAGTGGGAATGAAACCCATGAGAGAAAGCTATCATGCTACCTTGGAATTCATAATAGTTACAAAAAGGAATACTGGCCCGGCTGGGCGTGGCTCAGCGGTTGAGCGTCGACCTAGGATCCAGGCGATCGAGGTTCGATTCCCGGTCAAGGCACATGCCTGGGTTGCAGGTTCGATCATCACTGATGTTTCTATCTCTCTCTCTCCCTCTCCTTTCCTCTCTCTGAAATCAATAAAGATATATTTAAAAAAAAAAAAAGGAATACTGGAAATAGTGATACTTTAGGGAAGTGAATCAAGTTGAGAGAAAATAGTTGTATGATGCTATGGCAGAAATTATATTGCAACAGAATCTTTTCTGAGAGAGAGATAGTTTCTAAAAAGCGAAATTCTGACACTATGAAAAAAAAGTTAATCTGATAAGAAAAGTGGCATCTTAAGAATCCAATGTAGTTGTGTAAGCGTGCTATGATAAGTTTAGAATTTTAAGAGACTTAAAAAAAAAAAAAGGAATAAAAAGAAAGGCATGTGAAATAGATGAATACAAAAGAGTGGTGTGAAATGAGGAGAATCATGTAAGTAAAGTAAGAGCCCAGAATGAGCGGAGGCTGGTGAAAAAATGTTAAGAACAATAAAAAGGATTTAAAAAATACATGTAGAGCAAGAGGAACAGGAAAGAAGGTTTAGGCCTACTGCTTGGTGCAGATGGTATAACGTTAACAGATGATATAGAGAAAACAGAACTACTTAACTCCTATTTTGTTTTTGATTCTCTATTAAGGAGAAATATTCAAAATTGAAAGGGGCATAAGAAACATGCTCAAAGGGCACATGAAACATCTTACTGTATTTCACAGGCTTCATGAAGGAGGTAAGATCTGAGCTGTCCCTAAAGGATACTATTGGGAAAACAGAACATACTAAATAGAAAGAATAGATTGGGAAAAGACAAAAGTGAAGTAGAAGAGTAGAAGCTTTCTAAATACTATTATTTCATCAATTTTAAGACAGTATCTTTTCCACATTATAACCTCTCTGAAATTGGAACTTATCTTAAAATAGACGGTAAAAAGCACTGTGTCATTCTTAACTGGCACCACTTTTTCTTTCTTAGACGTACTCAAAATAACGATATATTTTATCACTGATGGTGCCTTAGATTTTATTTCCTCCCTAAGGTTCTACAGTCAGAGTAAACATCAAGGATCCTAAGTCCTAATTAATCAACTCAGAATATTTAGACACAATTGAAGTTTAAATTTTTCTGAAGCTTATAATAACCTAAAACAAGTTACCTTCTTGCATTCATTTTGGAACTTACTCTTTTCTTTTCTCTTCCATTCTCTACCTGGCCTTGCTTCTATCTAATCCTTTCTTTTCTCCTAACTTCTGTCTACTGTCCTCACTTCTCCCTCTTTCCTCCTCATTCTCTCTCTTTTCTATTGCTTTTCCCTTTAAAAAATTTTTTTAATTAAAAGGTAGATAGCTCAAGTATTCTATATTTCTCCTAGTAAAATCATGAATGTCGCATTTATTTCTACAAGTTCCATGGCTGATCTTAGTTTTTTGCAATCATGCAACCTTTGAAACAGTGATAGACCTCTCTGCACAGCAGTATCATTCTAAATGTGGTCTGAAATCGACTGAATCAGATTTTTGAAGGTGGACAGAAATCTGTGTTCTCAAGTTTTGCGTCACCACTGCTATGGGAAACTAGGCTGATCAAGTTTCTGTAAAAGCCAGGTTAATGTTGTTTGATGAATTATTACAGTAGTAAGAAATTTATAACTTTTTATTTAGTTTTGAAAATTATATATATGTGTGTGTGTGTGTATAGCTTAAAAAAATAACTGGATAACCAAAAGGAGTAAAAAATCAAAGGAGAAAAAGGCCTCCATTCATTTACTCAACAGATATCTAATGAGGACCTACTTATATAAGTATTAAGTGTAGTACTCCATTTTCTATCCACCTGAGTTAATATTAAAAGTAATTCCAGATTGGATTCCTGAACTATCATTTATTACACCCTTGTCCTTTAGACAAGTGATTTTCAACCTTTTCATCTCATGGCACACAAACTAATTACTAAAATTCGGTGACACACCAAAAAATGTATTTTTTGCCGATCTGACACATACAAAAAAAGGTATAATTTTGATTCCTTTACACCGGATGGCTGCTATTGTATTGGATGTTGTCAGTTTTTTATTTGACAGTCTAAGGGGAAAGAGGTCGGTTGCTCCTGACTAGTCAGGTATTACATGTTTTTTTTGAGAGGAGGCGAAAGGGAAGGAAGGAGGGAGGGAGGTAGGGAGGGGGGGTAGAGGGAGAGAGAGAAAGAGAGAGAGAAAGAGAAAGAGACAGAGAGAAAGATTTGTTGTTCCACTTATTTATAAATTCATTGGTTGATTCTTGTTTGTGCCCTGACTGGGGTTCAAGCTGACAACTTTGGTGTATAGGGATGAAGCATAACCAACTGAACTACCCAGTCAGGGCCAGGTATTACATGTTTTAAAAATTCTTGCAGCATACCATTTGAAAATGGCTGCTTTAGACAAACACTAAATTTATCTGTTTTTCAACCTTCTTTTATCTGAAAAATGAGGATAATACCACCTTTATCCAGCATTCAGATAGCTGGCACGCTATCACTTCTGGTCTCTATAATATATTAGACAATCATGTACTAACTTATATTAACTTTTTTACTAAAGCTTTAAACTATGATTTAAATGTTTAACTTTTCATGAATTCCTATCCAGCTAAGTTCCCTCAAAGCAAAAAATGTGATATATTTTTCATAATCCTCTATTATCAGCTAGCATTATTACTATATGTTAAGTATTTGGGGTGGGGTGTAGGGAAGACTAAGCTTTTTAAAATACACATTTTATACTTTTGTATAACAAATCAACCAAAATGGGGGAAAGTGTAATCACATGTGTTTTATATTAAACAACAAAAAGCCAACTTTTTTTAAGCTTGAGCTAGCAGCTAAAAGTGAGAGTTTTAAATTGAGCTTATTACTAATTCCTCTCATTTACTAAATACCTACTGTATGACAAAAGCTGTATAGGCACTTTGCACACATGATCAACAATCCTTACAACCATCCTGGAATGCAGTAGAATGAGATTTTACTTTCAAAAAAAACATGTACAACTGGTATTAAGAATTCTTTTTCGGAGGGAGCAATTATCATTTATAAGGTCTTTTTTTTAAAAGGTAAATCTGAACAAGTTTGTTTATAATTAACCAATTGTTTCTTCCAATAACCAGTGAGCCACATACAAGGAATCAAAAGAAGAAAGAAATCAGGAAAACAATGGGTGATATAACAAGAGAAGAAAAAAACTATAAATAAAAAGTCCAAAGTGATTTAGACCAATTAGAAATAACAAGAGTTTAAAGATAAATGGCCATAAACTCTATACACAAAATTAATTATATTTCTATATAGCAAAAGATGGAAAGCATAATTTAAAAGAAAAACATTTAATATCTCTCCCAAATACACAACACACACCCTAAAATTGTAAAG